AATAAGAAAATTTATACTTGGTCTAAGTCATCTTGCATGATAAAAATTTTGATTTTTTTTCTTACGAACATAAGGAAGAAGATCTTGTGTTCATTTTTTCTAAATTTATTTTTTTTATTTTTTATATGATCGTATCTTATTACTTTCCAGGTATCCTACTGATATGGACAAGCAGAACTTGGCTAAACAAACAGGTATCACCAGAAACCAGGTAAAGTAGAGAATCCTTTTTGAGTCTTCTGAATCCAGCGAAGTAGAAACACATCACTGCATGCATGAGTTACTAGCATGCATCAGTATCCATTTTTGGTGATCCGGTCAGACTAAATACTTCACTATCCGCGCAGGTCTCTAACTGGTTTATCAATGCGAGAGTGAGGCTTTGGAAGCCGATGGTGGAGGAAGTGCACTCCTTAGAGATGCATCAGAAGCATCAACCGTCTGCCGGCCGTGAACAACCTCGTCCACATTCATCTTCGAAGGTGAGCATGTTCGGTGGTGCATCCAACCATGAGCGTGTCTCGCTCACCCTCGGCCTCGAGGAGTGCGGCGACGCTTATTTCGGGAAGGACGTCGGCAGCCGCTTGCTGCAGGATTTTGTTGGGTGAGGATTGCAGGAGTCTGAGATTGTAAAGATGAGCATAATGTGTTCGACAAAATGCACCTATCAATCCGAGCATTTTAATAGATTTTTTTCTTCATAGTATTAATTTAATGTAGAGAAATAATAAAAAACTACTCAATAAATTTCTTTTAGGATGGTGTTATATCATACACATTAATATGCATGAGATGTCACATAAATAAGATAGTAGAAGAACTTCAAATATCAATAGGTTACTATTTCACTTTTGTTTCTTTGAGTTATTTGGCAAGAGATTATTTTGGGTTCTCCAAATATATTCTTCTGGTAGTAAGTTTATGTATTCTTCTGATAATTTTAAAATGTGTCAGAAATAATATAACTCTATTCAAAAGTAATTAATTGACATAAAAAGTTAAATCTATTGCATGTTCTTATTTCTAAAATAATAAGAATACATATTGAGACTCCACAAAAGATAATAAACTGGTTTATATTATATTATATTATATTTTGTACCATTGTTTGTCAGTTATATTATTTTTATCTAGATGCTAAAAACATTGTAATTGATATATAATTTTTTAATATATATTTTTTATTATTAAATCAATAAAAATATTTATTTGAAATCCCACCAAAGATAATTTGTTAGTCTATGTTATAATAATTGAATTGTTTCTCGGTTATATAATATTTTTTATAGGTTTAATAGTGTGTATATATATATATATATATGAAAAAATATTATGTCTATTAAAAAATATTATAAGAGGATTACTATTTATAATTTTATTTTAAATCTTTTTAATATTATTAACTTCTCATTTGTAAATAGACTCAAATAATCTTTTCTTCTCCCTCCACTTATTTTTTCTTCTCGAAAGAAGACATCAAGAGAGAGACAAAAAAGGTAGGATCGGATGGCATTGAGCGACATCGACAAAGATAAAATAAGAGGTGGTGTGAATATAAAAAGGAAAAAGATAAAATTGATAATAATATAATTATAAATAGTAAATTAATATTTTATTATTTAAAAAAATCAATAGTAAAAGGGGATGATGAACAGTAAATTTTTATTATAATTAATTCACTTTGTGAATTGATTAATGTAAAAGAAACGTGACGACGAAAAGTATATCATTCAAATAAAATTGACGAGTTAAATCACTTTACACCGATTAATGTAGAAGACGAAAGACTTGTTTTGGATATCATATAAAGGTATTTTCAACACTAAAGGGAAAAAAAGGGAAACATTGATGAGGAGAAATAGAAAAAGAACGTCGATTGGAGGGGAGAGAAAAACTCAAAACGAAATTTATCCTATATAAATTTGATATTATCCAGTCGGTTAAAGGATGAGCCAACCATCGAGTGCGGTATGGCCTTCAGCCTCCAATGAATACACCATAAAGCAACATAGCCATCACCCAAAATGCTAAGCACATGTACCGAAAAGCAATGACAGATGATAACAAGTATGAAATGTGACTGAACATCTCATTCAGCCTCTTTCCTCCCATGCAAGTTGTGACAGAATATATGATTGTTTGAATGAGCAGCAATCACAGCATCTCTCAGTCACAAACGTTGCTTATTTTAAGACATCATTCCAAGCTTAGTTTACAAGTGCTTATTTTGCTCGCAACATAAAGCAATGCCACCCATTTGGCTCCCCATGAAAAATTATGGGACTAAGCCAATGCCTTTCACACAGGGAAAGCTCCTGTGAAGTGTATATGATCAAGGGTTCGACGAAGCCCATACTTGTTGACGGCGGCATTAGCAGCTCTGAAGCCTTCGCCATAGGCAGTGGAAGTGTCGTGAGCAATTTGATGCATGAAGAACTCTCCTAGTTTTTTCTCGGTGTCAGACTTTGCTGCTTTCTTAGATGATGGCATTGCGGATGATGAAGATGGAGCATAACTTGATGAGGATGGCACACTCGTTGAACCTGGCATGATCTCGGATTCGAGCCACATGTGGGAGAGAACCTGGCAGATGCCTTCCTCCACCTCAGGGCTTAGATCACGATAGCCTGATTACATATAAGAAAATGTATAAGACAAGAATTAAGAAAATGTCATAAATTTACATGTAGCAAGATTGCATATAAACTAAGAGAAGTACAAAATCGCAATGCAATTTAGCATCTCTTATGGTGCTTTTGTAATCTTTGGTTCATCAGCTATAAAAGTTCACGGAAAGGAATCTTAAATCACAGATTAATTCCTGAGGAGTTCAGAAAATCATAAAAGATATGGTCATTCTTGGTGGCACTAATACGATGGTCATTCTTGAGGAGTTCAGAAAAGATATGGTCATAAAAGATATTAATTCCTGAGGAGTTCAGAAAATCATAAAAGATATGGTCATTCTTGATGGCACTAATACGATGGATTAGGACAATTATTCACTTTGAGGCCTAGCAAATTTAATGAGCGGTGCTCACTCAAATTTCATTGATGTAGGCTGGGCATAAGATCTAGATTGGATAAAATAAGAGACTCTCCTGGCTGCAGTGCTCTGAAATTGGCAGTCATTGATATATACCTGATTGGCAATCACAAGATTCAAACTCAAATCTTCAGTAAAGAGATCAAGCAGTTTCCCAGCCAATAAGTAGATGATGACTATTTGTTTGTTGTATCATAGTGACAATTTTGCATTCAAAGGTATAGCATAGAACAACATAATTATATGAAATTTAACATCGAATGATGTAATAGTTGTAACCCCAAAAAATAGAAAATATACCTTTGAGACGTAACCAACCATGCATCAATTCATGAGCAAGAATTGAACCTGTTAATAGTCTGCATTTAGAAGGATAAAGAAAGGTGTCAGGATACCCGGTATAATTTGCTAAACGAAATGGATATTAGCAGTTTAATGAACAAAAAATTTTTGACAAATTGACTTCCATTTATCCAATTCAGTCTTCATAAAGTTTCACCCTGATTAAAAAAGAAGCATAACTTTTTTCTACAGCATAAGCATTCTTAACATAATACAACATGGTAAAATGCCCACATCTTCAATAGATTATCATGTTGAATGATTAATTTGATCAACATGAACTTTTAAGGAGAGGAACATAATGATCACAGCACTTCAGTGAACTATGATCATATGACTCAAAACAAAAATTGTAATAGATAGATACCAGTATAAATAAAGATATCTGACTTCCAGCCTGTTATCAAGTTGATAATAACCTGGGGAGGCCATATAAAACAAGAATTGCAGTGACTTCACATCTACGGATCAACTTTTGTGGGTGTGTCCGCATGTCCAGAATTTTGTTTCCCCCAATTCTTGGCCTTTTATGTATCTGTATGTTTGAAATTGGCTTAGAATTCATTCTAGTCTAACTTAAACAAAATGGAAGGAGATTACTCACACTGCTGACGGTTTGTTCCTCAGAAAGACATAAGCCTCTTGTTTCAGGCATGTGATGATGACCCTGTTGAAAACAGCTTCAGAAATTAGAACTATCTACAAGAGGAGAATGTTAAAACTCAAGACAGCCAAAGAAAGCTTACATATTTCTCCCCTTCCATGGCCTCATTAAGCGCCTGCCTTTCAACCAAAAGCATGGGAATTTGTTGATCTATTCTCATGTTCATTCCTTCATAATAATCTCTAATTGAGTGGTACAGGGGTTGACAGTCACCAGCATCCATGATAGCAGATTCAAGGCATTCCAGGCACAAGCTACGGCCTTCTCCTAGATAGATATATCTTGTGTTTCTTGACTTCAATATGAAGTAGTGAAAGCAAAATTGAGATATTAGTAAAGATGAATGTTCTATTCATCACGAGCAATTATTTTGCTTGACCATTTACATATATGAAAAAAGATTTGGAATTTTCTCCGGTGAAGCAAATGTCTTCCATACCTCCATTCTCTCACAACTACAGCATCGAGGTGTGTGGTCATGTTCATGTGAAGGACAATACTTTTGGCCCCAAAAGGGGTGAGCTCTATACTCAATTAAACCAGCCCTGTTTGTTGGGATCTGTTGGGGAAAAAAATGAACAGAAACCATTTGCTTGCTTGCTTATATTATAGCATGTTACTTCTAGGTCAATTTTTGATATAGAAATATAAATAACTTCGTCTGGAAAGTGAAAGAAGATCATTTTCAAAAGTAATGAAATGTTAAGCTTTCAGCTGATTGAGAAGGTTCAATATTTCTAGATGGAAAAGAGAAAGACATCAAAGATAATTTTCATCATTTTAAGAACGTAAGTATAATTGCTTGTGACAACTGACTATCAAACAGCAGATTCAAGTTTTCATTATCCAAATAATATCATTGGTAATAGATACAAAAGTACAGTTACTTGCAACAGCTGATACATATGGTGAATATTAGAGGATTCAAACTCGCATGGGATCCTAATCCAGAAATATAATTAATATAAGAAATAGATGGATCTTTTAGAAGCTCAATTTCTTAGCTGTGGTATAGATTTCATTCAGGAAAGAGTTTAGAACAAAGTGACATATCTAAGGACTGCAGTGGTATTAAATAAATGTATATGCTGGTATTTAGAGGAAACATCATTGCTAATTCTCATACTAATGATATCTAGTCAAGTTGAAGAGGGAAACAATCCACTGAAGAATTTGTGCAGGAAGAGGAAACATAATAAAGGCCAAACAGATTCTCACTAAAATGATAGCATGAAGGACTCAGAAACAAGCAATCCAGAACAACATGAACTTCTGCACTGAAAATTATTTAATCTTCTGATGACACAGTTTGTTAGAAAAATTTATACAATAGAAATGATAAAGTGCACAAATATAGAAAGATAAATTCTTACAAATTCATGGCAGACATCACATTTGGGGTGATGCAACTCCTTATAACATGACTTGTGGTATGGGTAGGTGCCTGACAAAGAAAACTAAAACAAGCACCATGTTTTAAGATCTTTTTCACACTAAAAACTACTCAGAGAAGACAGATGCCAGTATATTATGTGACAATTCTTACAGAAGTAAAGCAACACTTTTTTACTAAAAAGCTAACAGATTAACACACCTCAGTCTCACGGATAAGCTGACCACAAGCATAACACCGAAAGCATTGTGGATGCCAAAATGTTCCCATGCAGCTCAAGTAATGTCCATAGCCTATTTCATGGTGACAGCCTCCACAAATTCTGCAGGACACAATGCACAGGCATAGTTGTGTGGTGATGTGCCATAGCAAGATAGCATATAGACCAAGATGAATGACAAAATCAAACCTGTATCCTCTTGGTAAAAACTGCACAGGTTGATATGGTTGATAGGAGGGCATGCTCAGACTTTCTTGGATAGCTTTAGCTAGCTCGTCATCATCAATTCCCTGGCCCCTGTATCCTGGAGCTATCACAGAAAGTGACCATACAGTAAGGTATCAGCACTTGAACCAACCTCTTCAGACATGGAAGGGGAACTGCTTGAGACATGATTCCAAGATGTCTGAAAAGTCGAATTTCAACACCCCAAATAGTTGAACTTACCATTGGGTTTCTTGGCATCCTCGACAAGAGAAAGTGCATTTGCATGATCCAGGTCTTCATTTGCATCTTTAGATTGGTCATCCTGGTAAGAGCTTGTGCACGAGAATTTCATACAATGATATAGAACAAGAGGAAATGGACACCTAAATGAAATTCAGATAAATTTTTGGAAACTAACTAATGTGTATTAACAATTATTATGAGAAATTTGGCATGCGGTCTACATGATCAAATCAGAGAGGAATCTTTACCGCTGGTTTAACTGGTCTATGCAACATGCTCTCTCCCCCAATTAGATGTGAATGGCGTCCATTTGACACTCTACAACCTGTTCCTTTGAAAAACTTGCAGAGCCACCTCATGAAGCGTGACCTTCTCCAAGGATATGATGGAGCTGTATGTCCTGATCACATAATGAGATTCGACATAGTTACTATAAGATCACCATCAGACATGAAATTCACTGATAACATGCCCATCATGTTATTTATCTTTCTTAACAAAAAGAAGACATGACAAGATCTGTGATATATACAGCTGATATCATGAGCATGTGAAGCTTGATTGATTCTGTGTCAAAAATGTATACCAAAGAGAACCGAAACAGAAGAAAATTTTAACAGAATACAGTATATTCAGATGAATTCAGGGTGCTGATGCTTCAGATTGTATGACATGGTGACCACATGAAGTTTCCTACTGCAGAAAATGAAATTCTCTGATTAAAATGAGCCTCCTGAAATAGAAAATGTCATAGAACTCTTCATATTTCCAACATAACCATCATTTTCTACTAGATTAGAGTCATGAACTCATAGACTATTTTGCTTCTTTAGCCTCTTGTAGGTTTTCATTGTATAATGACTTTCTCAAGTACTGCAGAGTATTAATTCATATAATAATCACACATGCTACACATCAGAACCCTTACGATGATAAGGCATTTAAACTTCAAAAATCAGACTCCAACACTCAGAGAGCTGGGCTCAAAAGTGCATATAGTTCTCCACTAATTGCATAAGATGTTTGTTTTGGTCTCAACATAAATTGCATTTCCGCAGATCCATTGTTGCAGTGGCTATCCCTTGAAATGGAATGAGGATAGGTCTTGTTCTAGATCATGAACAGTCGATAAGATGCTGGTGATGCCCTTTCCAAAGTATCGAATGAAGGTTAGGCAAACTGTGTTTCTAGTTTAAAAACATTGGGTCAGTATTATCCTTCATTTTAATCCTTGGGGGATTCAAAGTTCCATCAATGGTTGTCTTTTAGTTCTTCATTTGCTCCATTACCAAGCAATTTTCCATAATTTCCTTTATTAAAATCCTCTAAAGCCAGGCTAGCAGAGAGAAAGTTTGGGTGCTCAAATCAAAACAATGGTTTGTTCTGCTGGTGGCTAACTTATGCTAAATTATGTGTATTCCAATCTTCGGTGAAACTGGCTAGAAACTTCTTAAAATTCGTAACCTTCTAGGAAGATCAGTCTTCCAAGCTTTGAGGAATGAGAAAGCTGCACCATAGCTATGATGCATGAATGAATGTGACTCTATCAGCTTGGGAAATATTAAGCAAAAGCCAAAAGTTTATGTGCATGTCATTGATTGACCTAAAGAAGGAAAAGTTGACGTACATGACAATGATTTCTCTCAAATGACAACACTTTTGGATGTGTGCCTTCATATCCATGTAGAAAATCATTGATCCTTATCGCATTGGATTGTAAATTCGCTTAATCTGAAACTTCTTTTTCTTTTACTATAAACAGCAAAAACACAGTTATAGACTATGGTGTAGATAGTTGACTGAGTGGACCGACAATTTCTCATGATTAAAACAGGGATTTTGATGCCCCTACAAATTCTGGTGTCAACGACAAGGAATTAACGATCATATGCATCAATTCCTGATAATACCCACAAACTCACCTCAACAACCTCGAATCACAAGTGGAATCATCATCGCCACACATAGCAATCAGAAATTTCGACGATGATCACAATCTAAAATTACGAATACCACCAATCGATAAGCAGCCCTAAATAGTCTCTCTCTCTCTCTCTCTCTCTCTCTCTCTCTCTCTCTCTCTCTCTCTCTCTCTCTCTCTCTATCTAATCAGATTTTTGAATCAACGAAACTAAGAAATAAGCCATCAGATGGTTACCATATGCGCGAGGCCGGGAGACGTAGCTGGAGTCGGAAGAATCCATTGCGGCGGCCAGGACGGGAGCGGCGACTCCACCACGGAGAGGGAGGGAGGAAGAAAAGGACCTTTGAGAGGGGAATAAAGGAGAGGGGGGGTTGGAAAGGAAGGGATTGAGGTGGAGATGAGGAGGAGGAGGAGGAGGATGATGGGGGAGGGGGCGGCGGCTCGACGATAAGGCATCTCTAAAAGCTCGGGCAATTATATATATATACACGCACGCACATGCATTACATATATGATTGTGATGGCGACGACAGGGAGGAATCGGGGGATGGGAGGAGGGGAATAACGTGAGAGAGACGGGGGAGGGAGGGAAGGAAAGAGAGATTCCTTTGTCGCTGCAAAGGGAATGCGTCCAGAGTGGAAAGGAAGCGGGGGGAGGAGGAAGATGACGATGAAAGAGTAGGAGGCGATAAGGGGAGGGAGCGCGTTCGCTTCCTTTTTTGCTTTGGGTTGGAGCCCTTTTTCGTCCACGTGGCTTGAATCATTTGAACCCGTTTTTTTTGTCGCGGTGGTTTTTACTTTTACAGATATATCCTTCCAAGGTTCAAAAATAACATATTTGTCACTGTAAAACTCAAAATAACTTGTAAATCCTCTAAAGTCATTTTCTTGTTTAGTGTAATTGACTGTTTGCTTCTATAGCCCTCTTACAAAACAATTTAATTAAAGAAATAGACTAAAAAATATTAGAAAGATCTTTATAAACTTTATTTGAGTTTCAAATATGTATAGTTCTTAGTTTATGAAAATAAATAGAATTTTTTAAACATGATTATAGTGTTTTTGATATATTTTTAAAAATAATGTAACCTTACTACAAAACACTAAGGGAAATGAACTCAAAATATATTAGGAAAAATACTTAAGAACCTTATTCGGTTTTCAAATAGGTATGGTTCTCTATCTAACAAAATAAACATATAAATAATTTGACTCTTATATGAGTTACAGTATTTTTCAATATGATTGCAATGTTTAAAGTATATTTTGAAAAACATTGAACAGAGAAAAATAAATTAAAAATATTAAATAAAAAGTACTTATGATTCAGTAAAATATAGAATGGATTTCAAAAGAAAATTTGATAGTACAGTTATATTTGATGAAATAAGTTTTTCAGATAGAAAAGGAATGAACTCACAATAATACTTGAATAAGATCGAAAAATAACTCACAACCAAATTTAAAATCAAAAGAGATACAAAAAGTTTACCACCCAAAGAAAATTAAATAAGGATACTGAAAAATAAAAGATTCACCAGTCAAAAAAATATCCAAGAGATACAAAGTTTCGGCCAATAGAGCTTCTGTCAATATCATCAGTTTCTAAACTCATTTCTAACCCCTAAACACCAAAATAAGTATTAGTGCATGAAACAACCCTTCATGTATAGGGAATTTTAAAATTAAGTGTTTTACATTAGGTAATCAATTTCTTTAATGCATTCCTTGGTCATGAAGAAAAGTACCTTTAAACAACTATAATTTTATCTAAAGAATGTGCTAATGAGCGGTCATATTTGAGTGAGCTGAGTTGAAAAATATGAGGCAACATTGTGGGCTGAAAAAAATACCATAGCATCAACAAGGTCCATATGAGTATATTGTAGCAAATTAGATACTCTCATGTCAATCTCCCCTAGTTGAAAAAGACTTGTCCTCAAGTCCTTATTTGTTTCATCAACATGATTATGAAAACGACTTAAATCAGCCACATTAAATGTTAGGGACACTCCATTGTTGAATCTCAGATTTTGATAATTAAATCAATTGGTGAATTAAATGATATAATCCATGTGTAGAAATAAGTGATGCACGACTAACTACGATCGTGAGAAAGACAAAACGATTAAAGAAGAATTGAAATTGGGCCGGAGTCAATAATCGGGCATCAGGCCGAATGAATCGAGGGATATACCAAAGGATCAGATGATGTAGTGAAAGCTCACCGAAAGTTTACCGGGAGTTCATCGAAAGCTCGTCGGAAGTTCGCTGGGAGTTCACCGAAAGCTCGTTAGGAGTTCGCCGGAAGTTCACCGAGAGTTCGATTGAACAATTGGCATGCCAGACAACTTAGATTATGTATATCATAATTATTTTAGCCTTAACTATCATATTTAGAACTTTAATTTGATTTAATTTTGGAAGAAATCCTACTAACTCAATTAGGGGTTAACTAGGCCCAAAACAACACTGAATTGGGTCGTTGGTTGGTCCATTCAGCCACTTGGAACCAGACAAGCGATGGTACCGCCTAAGGCTCAACCTCGCATATGGCTTAAGTAGTGGTACCACCTAGACTATGCGGTGGTACCATTGACAATTAATGCTGCTAGGCGATGGTACAACTAGAACCCGATCTCTGAGGCTTTGTCAAGAGATCGTACCACATAGTATCAGTCTGCAGGTGGTGATACCACCCAATACTAGCGGTGGTACCATCCAGTACTGATGAGAGTACCGCTAGTACTCTAGAAACCTAGGATGAGACACTTTTTGACTTTATTTTTGAAGCTATTGGGGCCTATAACTACCCTACTCTTTCTTGCATAAAAAAACAACAAAAGTGTGAACAAAAATGTTGAGATTTTAGATTTTAGATTTTAGATTGTATAATGCTAAACAAAGAAAACAAACAACTCGAGGAAAATAGTGCACTGGTGGTGGCATTGCTAGACTGGTAGTAACACCACCAGTACACACTAGTTGTAGGTGGTAGCACCGCCCAACTAGTGATACCATCGCCCGCAACTTTGCCCTATAAAAACTCTAAGTTATGGCTGGTGGTAGAACTGCCCCAACTCTCTCTACACCCCTTTAAACCTCTCCACACCCCTCATTCCTCTTACTATCCCTCTAGAAACTTAAAAAAAACCTTCATCCTTTGCAAATCTAAGGATCAATCTCAACTTTCCAAGAAATCATTACAAGGGTAATCCTTAAAACCTTTCTCTCAATTCATTGATAGATCTTGATTCTTATATATAGTTCTCTTATTGATAATATGTGTAGTTTCATGACCTCTAGAAGATCTAAGGGACAAAGGAAAGAGGAGATTAGATGAAACCTATAATTTCATACTCTTTGATTCCCCTAAACATGCCCTTAAATTTCCAACCTTTAAGTCTATAAGTGTACATAAGGGAAAATATGTAGATTTAGAATAATTGAGTAATTTAGAACCAATTTAATGGTTC